GCCCTGCCCAGTGAGCAGAAGTTGTGGATCGATCAGAAGTATTATCTGTTCAGACTGGTAGTGACTGTCCAGGGTTTCTATCACCATCATCACCATCACCATCACCATCATCATCAAGTGCTTTTTTCCAAGAAAAATAGGTTCCAGAACTCACAACGAACTAGTTACAGTAAGTTGCTGGGCGACTTGGGGCAGCCTTGAACAGATGCTGGTTTGACAACAGCCACATTAACCACTCATGGAGATACTAAAAGCTACGGCAAGCTGTCTCCCTAGCTGTGTTTTTTTTGGGAGGGGTCACCTCTGGTTCTGGTGCAGGTCAAATAAATGTGCCCCTGCCTCCCTCATTCTCTTAGATTCAGGCGGATGACTAGGACAGCTCGGAAGGGCCCTCACACAAACTTGTCTCTGTGCAATGGTAGAGGTCTGGCTGGAAAGCTTAAAGACTGCCACTGCTATACAGGAGACAGATTGAAGAACAGGAAATACAAATTGGCCCCATCCCATAGCTTGACCAATTGTGGCTGGGAGCTAGGTGATATCATACATCTCAAAAAAGTGTAGACACTCACACACTGGCCAGTTTCTCTCTTGACTTGAAATGTTTATTTTGGGCTTCACGGAAGTGTGTAAATGCAAGAAGCGGAAGGGGGAAGTGCTGGTTTCCAATGGTACCCACCCAAGAGGGGCTGGAACTGCACTCCAGCATGCTCCAGCTGAAAAAAGCACTGTTGTAGCTGCTGTTGTTGGAACAGCCCTATACAGTCCGGCCTATATAGTCCGCTTTAGTCTAGGTCTCACCATGGCCAACCAGATGACCATGGGAGGGTCGCCAGCAGGACATGAGCACAGCAGCACTCTTGCCTCCTGCCATTTGCAGCAATTGGAACTGAGAAGCATCCTGCCTCTGGCAACAGAGGCAAAATATAGCCATCATGTCTAGTTGAAACAGCTTTATTCTCCAAGAACTTATCTAAACCTTGTTGAAAGCTGTGCACCTTGGTGGCCATAACTGTGGAAGCATCATTTTACTATGCAGTGTTTTAACACTCTCTTTGGTTGGTCCTGAATCTTCTGACATTCAGCTTCATTGGACTTCTAATATAGCCAGAGAGTGATAAACCCCGTTTTTCTATCCACTTTCCTCATGCCACACATAATTTTATACACCTCTATCACTTTTCTCTAAACTAAAAAGCCTCAAATATTTTCACAATGCTTTCTCCATCCCCTTGATCATTTTGGTTGTCCTTTTCTTGAACATTTCTCTACTCTGCAAGATCCTTTTTGAGCTGAGGCAACCAGAACTGCATGCAGTATTCCAAATGCAGTCACACCATAGATTCGTATAATGGCATTATGATACTGGCAGTTTTATTTTCAATTATTTCCCCAATGATTGTAATTCTTTTTCCCATGTCATAAAATGGGTTGACATCTTCAGCAAGCTATCCGCTGCAGCCCTCAAGTCTTGCTCCTGGTCAGTCACTGCCAGTTCAGATCCCATCACTGTCTACACAAGATTAAGATTTTTTGCCTCTGTGTGCATAGCTTTACACCTGTTTACTCTGAATTGCATTCACCATTTTACTGCCCATTCACTCAGTCTGGAGAGGTACTTTTGGAGCTCTTTGAAATCCTTTTTGTTTTAATGACGCTGAATAATACTATCATCAAACTTGGTGACTACACTGCTCACCTCTAACTGTAGATTGTGTATGAACAAGTTAAAAGCACAAGTCCCAATACTGTTCCTTGGGGGACTCTACTTTTTACACCCCCTCCATTGGGAAAACTGTCCATTTATCCCTACTGTCTACTTCAGGCTTCTTAACCAGGACCTCACCTCCTATTCCATGGCTGCTAAGCTTACTCAGGAGTCTTTGTTGAGGTACCTTATCAGAAGCTTTCAAAAATTCAGGCACAGTATTTAAACTGGATCACCTCTGTCTATATGTTTCCTGACACGCTCGAAGAACTATAATAAGTTTGTGGGACAGAAAGTATCATTGACACTTGCATTTTGACCAGCAGTGCATTGCAGTGGTGTCACATGGGGGGCACAGGAGTGATTGCCCCAGGTGCAAAATTGTTAGGGGTGCGAGATTTCAACACCTGGTGCTGCCTCAATACAGCTGCACTCTTCCGTTGCTGGGCTCCACTGAAAACAGCTTCTCCAGACGATGGAACATCTTTTCTTATCTCTGTGGCTGCAATCTCATGAGTGATGCAGACACTGTTAGGCAGTTGAATGTGCATGAGTGCTTTATCCGTTTTCCTCCCACCCTGGCTATTCTGTGCCCCCGCCTAGTTCTACACCTCCAACATTTAAAATTTAACTAATGTTAGACTCATCATTCCAGGTGGAAGGTTCATTCCATACCAGATCCCTTTTAGCTCCTGCTGGCTTCCCCACTGCAATCAGCTTAAAAGCTGCTCTGTCCAGACACTGAGGTCCACTGCCAAGAGCCTTCTGGTGGTTCCCTTGCTGCTAGAAGCAAAGTTACAGGGAACCAGGCAGAGGGCCTTCTTGATAGTGGCACCCGCCCTGTGGAACACCCTCCCACCAGATGTCAAAGAGAAAAACAACTACCCTACTTTTAGAAGACATCTGAAGGCAGCCCTGTTTAGGGAAGCTTTTAATGTTTGATGGACTATTGTATTTTAATATTTTGTTGGAAGCCGCCCAGAGTGGCTGGGGAAGCCCAGCCAGATGGGCAGGGTATAAATAAATTATTATTATTATTATTATTATTATTATTATTATTATTATAAGCACCAACAGTCCACTTCTATCCCTTTCATACAAGCCCAGCTTGTCCCATGCCTAACAAATCCAAGTCTCTCCTCCTGAAGCCATCATCTCATCCATGCATTGAGACCACAAAGTTGCACCTGGCTGGCTGGCCCTGGTACTGTTTCAGAGAAAGTTACCTTGGAGGTTCTGCCTTTCATAGTTCTATACTTAATTTAATCATTTTTTTCCATCAACCACTACTAGATCCTTCTAACTGAAGGTGCTAACAACTAAACCTTGGGTTTCTTCCTGAAATGCATATGCTCCATCACTAAGCTATTGTCTTTCCCTCCACATCCCTCCTGCTACTTTATGAAACATAACACCATGGTTCTATTGTGCCACAAGTAGGTTGCAAAAGCAAAGGTTTCCATGTTGTCATTATCTGTATTCATTTATCTGCTGCATTCTTATTAGTCATCTATTTGAGATGGAAGTGAAGCTGATCAGCTTTCAATAGAGCAACTGGTTTGGTGACAGCTGATGTAAATCAAGACTTGGCATATATTTTCAAATTGATTTAGCATTTTTATTTTTGCACTGAAGTAACAAGATTTATGGCACTTCGGCTGGGTACAAGAATAAATTGATGGGTATATTTGGTGGGGGGCAGGAATAATGCAGCAAATGGATATGCTTATCAAAGTGCATCAAAGAGCTTAAAGGGACATGCCAGTACAGGAAACACAGGTAGATAAAAACACAGCTTTTTCACTCCATAATTGTGCTGCCACTTCCAGTTATTTCTGATGTGCCATGACGAAAGTGTGCTCCTGATGGACTTCATAAAGTTGAATGCTAACTGAGGGTTATTTAAAACTGGTATTTCAGTGTTACTTTTTATTACAAATGCAGGATTTTCAGTTCCCCAGAGGACAGAGCAAGATGTCTATTTTTTTTTAAAAAAACAAACAAACACACACACCACATAATCCAATAATTCCAGCTATCCCTAACTTTAATAGCAGTTGATCAAAGGATGTGTGGTGATCTGGTTCCCTGTAACCTCACTTCTTGCAGTGAGGGAACTGCCCAAAGGCCCTCAGAGCTGGAACTCAGTGTCCAGGCTGAACGATGGGGGTGGAGACACTCTTTCAGGTACACAAGGCCAAAGCCATTTAGGGCTTTAAAGGTCAGCACCAACACTTTGAATTGTGCTCGGAAATGTGCTGGGAGCCAACATTGGTCTTGCAGGACTGGTGTTATATGGCCCTGGAGGCTGCTCCCAGTCACCAGTCTAGCTGCCACATTCTGGATTAGTTGTAGTTTTGGAGCCACCTTCAAAGGTTGTCCCACGTAAAACGTGTTGCAGTAGTCCAAGCGGGAGAAAACCAGGGCATGTACCATTCTGGAAAGATAGTGCACAGGCAGGTAGGGTCTCAGCTGGAGTACCAGATTGAGCTGGTAGATAGCTGCCCTGGACAGAGAATTAACTTGTGCCTCCATGAACAGCTGTGAGTCCAAAATGACCCCCAGCATGCCCACCCAGGCTGGCTTTTCTTTTCCTTCTATTTATCTTTTAGTGCCAGGTCCACACAGGGAACATTTGAGCAGCCAGCTTCCCACAAGATATTGAGGGCTCATCACCTTTTACCTGAATGCAATCCAGAAACCACCAACACATTCTCTCTTATGAGGGGGGGAGGGAAACATGTTTCTTTTAAAAAAACAAAACCTCATGCAATCTCAACAGGAGTGCAAATGTGGCTTTTGTACTTTGCCTGTATATTGAATGTGTCACACAATTTTGCCAGGAGGGCAGGAAACAGCAGGCAGCCTTTAATTTTCAAAATCATTGGCTCCCGCTTCTTCAAAATTGGGGTGTGACAGTCTGGCTGAAAGAAATCCCCTTGCCTTCATCTTAGTACCTTGTGACAGTCAAATCAGCACCCAGGATTAAATGGAGTTCTGATAGCAACAATCCTCCTCTCTGTCCCTCATCTCATGAGCTTTGTGAAAGAAAAGAGACCTTTGTTGATTTCCTCCCACTGCTCCGCAGGATAGGCATTATCCTAAAAGTATCTTATGGCCTCCTTTCTAAACAGTGAAACATGATGTTTCTGCAAATGAGAAGCAATTCCTGCTCTACGGACTATGTGTCAGGACCAAGCTTATTATATTTTGCTGGTAGGGACTCCGCCCCGCTCCTTGTGTTGGCTTAAATAAGTTGTGCATTTCATGTACAGAAGGAGGGGGAAGCAAAGGGATATAATTTTATATATATATCTAGGAAGAGAGCTGTTACTTTTATTAGAAAGATTTACAAAGCTGATTTAACTATAAGCTACCACATGCAGCCTTCACTGCTAATTTTCAGGCTGTGTGTGTGTGTGTGTGTGTGTGTGTGTATTCTCATATTGCTCAAGTTTCAAGTATGGTTTGATACATTAGCTCTTTTGCCCTTGCTTATATTTTGTTGCAGAACTATTGAGCAATTCTCTCCCTTTCCTCCACAGTTCCTTGCTTAGCTCGTGATTCTCCTGCTCTCATTACCCAATACCATGAGTGACTGATACAATGTATAGCAAAATGTGACAAACAAGGTCAAAAAATACCTTTTATATCAGCACATTTTCCAGCTTACCTTTTAAAAGCAGAGGAAATGCTCAGGCGTGGCCAACAAAAAAACAACTTTTTGTTTTGTTTTGTTTTGAAAAATGAATGAGCTGGAAGTAGAACGACATGTGTACAACTGTCGTATTATTCTTACTGAATTCCCTTCCATCTTAACATCTTCTCTTAGACACGCTCTGCTTTCATTGCCTTGTAGTACCAGCAAAGTCAGATGTTTGGGGGGAAATGGATAATTGTGTGTTGTCAATTAAGAACTAAAATGTGGATATATCTCAGGTGATAATTAAAATGTCTGTGCAAGCCTGAAAACAACAAACTCTGTCCTCAGAACTCAATAAACACTTCAGCCTCTTTTAAATGCAAAATCCAATTTAGATTCTTTTATGCTCTGATGCCATGTTGATTCCGTTTACAAGATGCGTTTTTAATAGAAATTTCTCGTTGTGAGAAGGAACAGATTCTTGAAGTTTCACTTCCTTTGTGTGTTTAGAATTAGGACTTGTTAAGTAGATTTGGGTGAGATTCGTTGTCAACAAGTTGCACCTCTGGGTAATGGCAAGAGGGGAGAAGAGCAGAACATGATTTGCAGAGTGTTCTGGACAACCATAGCACATTTAAACAAATGTGCAGATGTGCAGAACTTTAAACAGGCGTTTGAAGTTCAAAGGGACATAAGGAAGGATTCAGATAAACTGGTTCAGGAAGAAATAAAAAAAAGGAAAATAAAATATACACTTTGAGTAGAATGAATTCTGGTTTTTGTTGAGTGGATGAGACAATTGGTGGGTGCTGTTTCACACGCACCTTTTCTGGGGGGAAGGTAAAGGTAAAGGACCCCTGACAGTTAAGTCCAGTCGCAGACGACTCTGGGGTTGTATGGATAAGCCCATTATCTCTTAGGACTACTTTGGACATTCTCCAAAGCAGTGAAAGAGGAAACATGAGTGACTTGTTTTCATTTCTTTTGCTGAACAGATGGCATCACACCAAGCTGTAATACCACCATTTGATCATTCGTAACTATGAGGTCTGCCCTCCCAGCATAAACTAAGGAGTATAGTGGCAGTATATAATGGTAGGACAGTGTCTCAAACAAATATGTGCTCTCCCAAGCCCACATTTCCAGTCTGTTCACAATCCTGTCTCAGTGACATCTTTGCTGGCTTGGTCATGTCCACAGAATGGAAGATGGCAGGATCCCCAAGGATGTGTTCTACAGGGAGCTGGCAGACCCACTCTGCACTACAAAGATCTCTGCAAATATGACAGGGAAGCTGACAACATTAACCCCACCTTGAGAGAATCCCTTGCAGACAATCGCAGTTCCTGGAGACATGACAGATTGTGCATTCATAGAAGTGACCAGAGGAGGAATGACCACGGTGAAGAGTGCAGAGAGAAGAAACCCCATCCAGCACAACTGGATGCCTTCATCTGCCCCAGCTGCAAGAAAACATGCCTCTCCTGTATAAGTCTCTACAACCACAGCAGGCGCTGTAACTTTCCAATGGTTTTTACTTTTCCCCTAAGGGTGCAATCTTCTATTGTCTCCAGAGACAGATGGAGATGTGTCCCTCCAACATAAATGAAGGAATATAGTGGCAATATTAACATTAATTTTCAAATAAACATTTCTATTAATGGTTAAGTTGTATGGTTAAAAAAATAAAAAAGTTTAAAAACATACACAATGTAGGTGATAGTATTGTAGAGACACCAAATTCTAATAGCACCGTGGTTACCATGGATCTGCCACTGTTGATCATTCTTATCAACGCTGAGTGAAGAAACCTATAAAAAGTGGTATTGCTTTAGCAAGAATAGTAAAGAATGCTTGTTCCTGCCCACCTGAGCTGCAGAATGTAGAGATTTACCTGTCTGCTCTGTTTATATAAGAGAAAATTGTTGCCTGCAGAAGCCAGCAAGCAACACTGATTATAATTGTTTCCTATTTGTTCCTACCCAGGTAATCTACAGAGGATGAGGCCTTCTCTGTCGGTCTATAAGAAGGCAGTTGCTGAAGAGCAGTGTTTAAGCACGCTTAGTGGCCAGTTGGTGACCTTATATGCATCTCTCTCATTTCTCATTTGTAATTTTCATTTAACATAGCTTTTTATTGATTCTTTTAATGTTTTAAATGCAGTACTAAACCTTTGGCTTATTTTGATCTATATTTCAATCTTGTATCGTTGATATACAACAAGGTGACAAGGTAAGGAGGAATATACACACAGAAACTGTAGGTCATGGTAAACTGTAGATTATGGCATGCATATCAATGGTATGGACCTGTCCTCAGAGAGATTCTTTGTCCTGGTCCACTTCTCAGTCCTGTGACATGATGACTTTCACTCTTTGACTTTATAGCTGTGTGAAATTTGGAATGAATCCAGCTGAAATGGCTTGGATGCTTGTGCCATATGGCCTCACAAAGGTTGCCGTGGACCATATGTCAGGAGGATGGCCCATGTAGGCTTCACACACATTGCATGAACTACATCAGCAGTAATGTGGGGAGGAAAGACTCAATAAAGCTTCAGCAACATGGTTAAGGTTCATTAGCATTCAAGTAAACTGCTGAAATGGCTAATCTCTTGGTCCCATTGCCCGGTAGGAAAGAAGCCAGCTGGCTTCTACATACATAATTCACACATTCTGCAAATTATTAGTGCAATCAAAGTAACAAAAAAGTAACAAATTTATGTGCTAAGATGGACTATATGGACACTAAACAATCAGAACCATCCCCCATGCTCTACCTCCTATTTGCCCCTAAAAAGAATCAATCTGCAGTGTATTGGCATTATTCCTTAAAAAAAAAGAAGACAAAGGAGAAGATAAAGAATAGGTAAACAATTTTGATTTAAATGCCTGTCAGTCTGTAAGCAATCTCTGGAAAAGCAGGCAATCTGTTCTATTCATATGCAGCTGAACAGGCAAAATTTCACTTCCTCTTTCAAACAAAGGTTGCCATTGTTTGTGGCAACAGATGATTCCTGTTTATAGAAATATGCACTTTCCACTACTAGGTGGGTGGGGAATGATTAGTGCAACTAATACACATCAACACTGAAAAGAAGAAAGGAGAAAAATTGAGAATTTGGGAAGACGCAACCACAATGTTTCTATACTACATTCCCCACATGGCACATCTGTGTAATAGCTACCGCTTCCGTGCAGAGATCATCCTTAGAAGTAATTTTACAGGAGCAGCAGTATTCAAGCTAAGAAGCAGGTCGCTGTGCATACTGTATTGATCCGTTAGGCAACCAACACTGAGCTACATGTAGGAAACTCATTGAAATCAGTGCAGAGCAATGGATTCTATCCCTGCTAGCCTCATCAGTATCTCACAGGGTAAACTATGACACTCTCAGCCAAACAGTTCATGCCATGTTATGAGTATGTAAGGCTGGTTTGGCTGAGGCAACTGCTCATTCTATTCCTTGAAAGCCCAGATATATTTTTTTCCAACATAGTGGCCCACCTGGGCTACAAGTGCATTGCAAACATAAGGCTCAATCCGAATCAAATCTAATCCACAAGTAGCTTCAGAATGTCATGTCAGATCAGACTAGGGAAAAGGAACTTCAGAATTGCCAGCCAAATGTGAGCCTCCAGGCTTCTCTATTCAAAGTGCTGTTTATGACTTACAAAGCCCTGGCTTGAGCCCAGGCTATATGAAAGATCATATCTACCTATACAAACCTGCCCAGGTGCTAAGATCCTCAGGTGAGCACCTCCTCTAGGTCTCATCAACATCCAAGGTATGATGAGCGGTAACATGAGAGATCTCACACACTAAAAGAGATCACAGATAGCTACACCCCTCCAAATTAAGAGCCAAAAGCCTGGATAAAAAGAAACACCTTTGTCTGAGCCTCAAATTAGATAGCAATGGCACTAGGCATATGTCTTTAGGGAGAGCATTACATAAGCAGGGAGCCACCACTGAAAAGGCCTGTTCTTGTGTCACCGCCCTCCACACCACCCTCATGGAGAAGGGCCTCAAACACAGGGTCCCTCTTCATTCATGTGGGGGAGAGGTGGTCCTTGATGTATTTGAGTCCTCAGCCACAAAAGGCTTTCTCTGTCAAAACCAGCACCTTAAATTGATCCCTTAAATGAATTGGTAGACAGTGCAGTCATGTCAGAATTTGCTTTACAGAATTTGCTTTACAGATTGCCTTACCCAGTTCAGTGATCTGGCTGCAGCACCAGCTAGAGTTTTTGAACCGTCTTCAATAATATACTGCTGTATTCTAGCCTGGAGGTTACCAGAGGATAGACATCAGAAGTTAGACTGTCCCTGTCCGGATAGGGGCATAGTTGGAGTACCAATCAAACCTGGCAAAATACATTCTGCACCACCAGTGCCACTTGAGCCTCAGGCAACTGTAATAAATCTAGAAGACCTCCAAACTATCTACCTGATCCTTTTGAGAAAGTGTGATCCCATCCACATCGCTTCCATCCTGTATACAGAACCACCCACTAACAGTGCCCGAGTCTCTTCTGGATTAAACTTCAGTTTACTGTCTCTCATAAATTCCATTATCAAGGCAAAACATTGCTCTACCACTGACACAAACACCTAAGGATTCAAAGGAGAAGTAGAGCTGCTTGCCATCAGTATACTGCTGACAATGTAAGCTCTAAAACCCTGGGTGACCCCACTCAGTGGTTTCACATAGATGTTAAATAGCATGGAGGATAAAATGGAAATCTGCAGAAGTCTACACTGCAGGCTCCATGGCATCAAACAGCGCTCCCCAAGCACC